AACAGGTGATTGATATATGTATTTTTTTTTGTCTGCTTATTTAGTTGGTTTTTGGTTTTTTGCCCTTTATCCCTGTCCCTCTTCTCCGCTGTTTTTTTTTCCCCTTTCCCCCCCGTTTTCCTTTCTCCCTTCTCTTTTCCTCATTCAAGTCTGTCCCATATCTAGCAAGTGAAAATAAAATAAACAATAAAAGGTGGGCATCTTTCCTCGCCTTTAGACAATAATTCTCATGGCAAAAGAACCAAACGGGACAGGCAAAAAATAAATAAATAAATAAATAAAACCTGGACGTCACTGTTGATGTAAAAAAAAAACCAAAAACAAACAACTAGACAAAGTACCTGGATAAGGCTGAAGGAGCATATGTGAGGTCTAAAGCCAAGTGGATTGAACATGTGGGGGGAAATCATCTTATTTCTATAGTCTAGAGCAGGGGTGTTGAACTCAAGGCCTCGAGGGCCAGTGTCCTGCAGGTTTTAGATATCACCCTGGATCAACCCACCTGAATCAAATGATTAGTTTATTACCAACAATAAAACAAAATTAAAAGGGATAATATTAAAATAACAAACAAATATAAACATTTTGAAATGGCCTATCCCACCCAAAGTTAAAGAAATGCAATTTAAAATAATCAATGGATAATACCCAGCAGCAGAAACACAGAAACACGCAATGTTATGGGCAAATACCACAGTGTAAATGGCAAAACAAAAAACCTTCCCTAAATGGGTTGAAGACTGAATTAAAAATCATTTTTTTAATCTTTAGAACTACTGAAGGATTCATGTAATGATGCTGCTTTCTTATGTGAAAATCTGACCCAATATCCTTTTAATGAATGTTTCATTTTTTTGTACCAAGTAAGCCTTATGTTAAAGTGTTGCCAGAAAAGAAAATATAAAATGTCATAAGAAGAATAAGCCTACACATATTTATGTTGTAAATGGGGTTTTTTTTGTGCAAAGACTAAAAATAAAGGGAAGTAAACAAAAAAAGGAAGAGAGATCAGCGAGAACAGCTTTGAGTTCATGTTAAGTCACGCGACTTCCAAAATCGGAAAAACCGCTCAAAACCAAGACGGAGATCATAGTTTAATATAAACTAATCGTAATCCTTCCACCCACAAATAGTGTAACATTACTATATTTTACATTATTGTATTTATATTGACAAGGGAATACAAAACTATTCTTGAACATTTTACTGGTATGCAGATCTCCCTTGATTACACCAGCCTATTGTGAATAATACCTGTGAAGATTTCTCTTCAGTGGGTAAACAAACCGTCAGCTTCAAGACACCCTTTTCCAAACTGATCTGATGAGACTCTTTCGCCAGAACATTTTTCTGATCTGTGACACAAGAGAAAAAAATCTGCAGTGAATAACTCCACCGATAATACTGCGTAGAAGCTATTATTATTGTTGTTATTATTACTTTCAGTTCACTTTATGGTGCCAAACTTACCCTCCTCTCTCCTGAAGCGCACTACCGCTGTGCTGCTGCCATTTTCATACTCGATCTCACAGTCACCACCGGCAGATTTCTCACTACTAAAGTACTTCACCAACATTATTTCTAATCTGGGTATGTTGGTTTCTCCGAATCCGACGAGCAGAGGATAGGAGTATGCCTCGACCATCGTTAGACGCCGGGAAGACGCACAAAGGAGAATAAACTCTTTCACTTTCTGCTTCACTGGTATAAGTAGACTACACTTGGACTGGTATCCGCCCATAAGTAGAAACTAAAAAAAAACAACCTCTAAGTCTCAGTGTTAGTCTCAAATGTTGAAATGCAATTTTTAAAAAAACAAAAAGCTTTTAATGTTTCATATAATATTTACATAGGCAAAATTATTAGAAAAATAACTCGTAACCCAAACAACGGTTACCGGACTACGGAGCCCTGCAAGGGACATGGGAGGGAAAAAATTTTTTATGAACTTTTGCAAGATCTCACAAAAGATCCTGCTACTTTTCGGTTCTGTTTCTCTACCAGAAGGGTACGGTATGGAGGAGGATTTAGAGCATTTCCTGCGGTCAAGAGAGGTCTCACAAGAGGACATCATGCACATGCAACAAGACAAAGTACGTATAAATTCAGTAAGTGAAAGAACAAGATAGCATAAAACACTGGAGTTGAGAAGGTGAGTAACTTGTTGAAAAACAGAATTTGTATATGCAAGCCTTTAATATTAACTCTTGTAATTATGTTCAGGTTCATTAAACATCAAGTAAACATATGTTTAGAAATTTCATATTGTTATCTGGCTTTGCCATGAACAATGGTAACGTGGACGTCATGGCACGAAATACTTGGTGGAACTTATCTTACTTAAACCTTACTTCACGAAATCTTTTTTTTTTTTATAAGATAAAACTTTATTAATCTCTCGGGTGGGTTCCTCTGGGAACTGAATTTCATTTATAGCATTTCTTTAATGTTTTATGTCTGCAGGTGGATAAGGCAGTGCTATCCGTCATGCATAACTACATATGGTGACAGAGTAGCTGTCAAGTCCTTCTGTCAACAAACTAAGTACAGCACAGATAAAGAGACTCTTCTGCAGAACCTAAGAGATAAAATTGCAACACGGAAAGAAAGATCAAAGAACCAAAGGTGCACTGTGTGGTCCATCCGGTGTGTTCCACAAGCAAGGTAAAGGAATGGCAAGAAAGAGAAACGCTACAGGAGAGAGGACCTGCATAAAAATTTAAATCGGGTGGCTTCATTTAAGCAGTACTGAATACCATCAAGTGAGAACCAGAAATGGTGGAGAAAAAAGACATGCAACAGTAGAAAAAAACAACTCTAGCTCAGATTTTGGAAGTGGGAAAGGACCTGTTTTTTTTTTTTCCAGATGGGAACTCGCCAAAAGGGAGAGTTGAAGACTTTATCATTGATATCTGTGATTTTAAAAGAAATCAGATTCCTTTAAAATGACACTGTTGGCAAACTTTACAAACAAACCAAATTGAAGCTTCTGAGATTTTACATTTGCACGAAAGATGAAGTACCGTGAGCAGTTCAGTTCTCATCTGAAGAGGATTTCTCTGTCAGTATAACCGACGAAGATTCAGAGGTGACATTACTTGGATCTGACAGTGAGACAGATGATTTCGTCCCAGATCTAATTGACCATGGGTATGAATCTGACAGTGACACCGACGAACAGGTTTGTGGCAATAAGAAAGATATTATTACAAATAATAATCACTTTAAAGTTACTGTGTTGTTTTGTTGTGTTTAGTAGTGCTTTGTGGCGACATGGGACATTTTCTAATTTCGGTGTACTATTGTACTAGGTGTTACTGTGCAACGGCAATAAAGAGTTGTCTTATCCAAGTGCTTTATGTACATCTACAAATACGTGCACTTTTGTATGATGAATTATTCCAGGAATTTGTTGTTGACTTGTGTGGCAAGGTACGTTTAATACATGTGTAAAAGACTTACAGCTTTGTTGTCATTAACATATAGTAAGTGATTGGCTGCTGAAAACAAGAATTGTTTTGTTTGTTTTTGGAGTTTGTGAATCTGTGAACCAGAAAACAATTTCCAGATGGAACCCAAACATATACAAAAGAAATCACACTGTGAGGCAGTGAAAACACAAATTCCAGAAAAATCAAATCATATTCATTCAGCCCTAACAGGCATTAAAAAACGTAAATTCAGTAAAATTATAATTCACTTCTGCTGGTTCTTCTGTGGAACCAGCTTCCAGTTTGGATTCAGGAGACAGACACTATCTCTACTTTTAAGATTAGGCTTAAAACTTTACTTTTTGCTAAAGCATATAGTTAGGGCTGGACCAGGTGACCCTGAATCCCATTTATTATCCTGCAATAGACGTAGGCTGCCGGGGGATTCCATGATGCACTGAGTTTTTCCTTTCCAGTCACCTTTCTCATGCACTATGTGTTAATAGACCTCTCTGCATTGAATCATATCTGCTATTAATCTGTCTCTCTTCAACAGCATGTCTTTTGTCCTGTCTTCCTTCTCTCACCCCAACTGGTCGCAGCAGATAGCGCCGCCCCTCCCTGAGCCTGGTTCTGCCAGAGGTTTCTTCCTGTTAAAAGAAAGTTTTTCCTTCCCACTGTTGCCAAAGTGCTTGCTCATAGGGGGTCAAATGATTGTTGGGTTTTTCTCTGTATCTATATTTGTAGGATCTACTGTACAATATAAAGCAACTTGAGGCGACTGTTGTTGTGATTTGGTGCTATATAAATAAAATTGAATCACAATCAGCTGTACACTGTCAATGTTTTGCCTTAGCTTTTGTTTTTACTCCTGCCATCAGCCCAAATAAAGGCTCGCTTTTGTTTAAAGTTCAGTGTCCTCTCTCATTGTCTGCTTTTGGTTATGTTCTCTCAAAGAAACCGGCGTACCCCACCATGACACACATTTTCCTTTGGCCTGCTGTTTATCCATCTAGATTGTTTTGGTGTGAGTTGCCCAGTTTTAGGAGATATTAGCTGTAGAGATAGAGATATCTTCCTTCTCATATAATGAAACTGGATGGTGCTTGCCTTGTGATATAACAGCTAAGGAACCCATGAAAAACAGGTCAGCTGATGGGGGCACCATTAATTTTATATCCAGTCACACTGTCATGCCCCTTGCATCACATTTTGTCAGGGGTAGACATTTGTTCAAACACAAGTAAGAGAAATAAGACACTGCAGACCGACTCAGAAAGTTTAGAAAACGTGCGCACGGGTGAATGTCTCTGAGAAGACACACACTCCGAGTGCAGGCTTGCTCGCTTTATTTATAGGGTAAAACTGGTTACATAGTACTTCCTCTTTTAACAGAAAGGGGAGAGTTCAGGCATTATCTCAGCTTATCTGACCTTGCACACATACACTGAAAATAACGATGCAGAAGTATATCATGCTTATCTGACATCACACACTGAGGTAAGGAATGCATTATGTTCTCTTTAACAATAAGCTTGGTTAAGTGAAAATATATGAACACACAAAATATAAGGCACACTTGATTATATTGTGTTATAGAGATTTGGAAATATTGTATAATGCAGAAAAATCTCTTAACACATTTCCTTCTCCACACTCAAAAACTATATGAATGTAGCTAAATAGAAAAACTGCATGAAGCTACATAAAGTCTACATAAAGTTCAGTATCCCCTTTGTTAGCCATGTTTTTTGAGTTTACAGTTTTCTTTGTTTTATGCACCGGTTAGAATAGAATAGAATGCCTTTATTGTCACTATACAGTTGTACAATGAGATACAGAGCATCTCCTACTCAGTGTAAACATGCTGGGGGGTACAGTTCTGCAGCGCTATGTACATATGGACAGTATTAACA